GGTCTTTGGTGACCCCTCCGACACCCCTTCGTGAGCCCCTCAGGGGTCCCGACCCCCAGGTTGAGAAACACTGTGTTACATACTGGTGTTGTTGTTATTGTTTCCAAACAAGGGGCAGTACCAGTCTCTTGCCAATAGGTGGGAGCAGAGTGTCTCATATCCGAAGCTCTGAGCCAACGCCAGACAAATACCAATTCAGTTCTTGTGAGTTTTTCCGGGCTACATGGCCATGTTCTAGAGGCATTCTCTCCTGACGTTTCGCCTGCATCTATGGCAAGCATCCTCAGAGGTAGTGAGGTCTGTTGGAACTAGGCAAATGGGTTTATATATCTGTGGAATGACCAGGGTGGGACAAAGGACTCTTGTCTGCTGGAGCTAGGTGTGAATGTTTCAACTGACCACCTTGATTAGCATACAATGGGCTGACTGTGCCTGGAGCAAACTCTTCTTGAAAGGTGATTAGATGTCCCTGCCTGTTTTTCTCTCTGCTGTTTTTGCTGTTGCAATTTTAGAATTTTTAAATACTGGTAGCCAGATTTTGTTCATTTTCATGGTTTCTTCCTTTCTGTTGAAATTGTCCACATGCTTGTGGATTTCAATGGCTTCTCTGTGTAGCCTGACGGTGGTTGTGAGAGTGGTCCAGCATTTCTGTGTTCTCAAATAATATGCTGTGTCCAGGTTGGTTCATCAGGTGCTCTGCTATGGATGATTTCTCTGGTTGAAGTAGTCTGCAGTGCCTTTCGTGTTCCTTAATTCTTGTTTGGGCAATGCGGCTGCGTTTGGGGGTCCCTCTGTAGACTTCTTGTCCACAGCTGCATGGGATACAATGGTAGACTCCTGCGGAAGTGAGAGGATCCCTCTTGTCCTTTGCTGAACGGAGCATTGGTTGGATTTTCTTGGTGGGTCTGTAGATAGTTTGTATTTATTTATTTATTTATTTATTTAATACACTTGTATACCGCTAATATCTCAGCCTAAGTCGGCGACTCATTGCGGTTTACAACAATTAAAAACAATATACAATTTAAAACAACAACACATAGACAATACAAATTATTGGGCCACCAATAATAATACCATGTATCTCGTCACTAAAATCACAGTCCAGAATTCGTCATCCATAATTAACCAGTCCTTAGTCCATAAAATTCGGTGATAACAAACTAACCGAATGCTTGTTTACACAACCATGTTTTTAATCTCTTCCGAAAAGCCATCAGCGAAGAGGCAGATCGTATCTCTATAGGGAGGGTGTTCCAAAGCCGAGGGGCCACCACAGAAAAGGCCCTGTCTCTCGTTCCCACCAGCCGCGCTTGGGAAGCCGGTGGGATAGAGAGCAGGGACTCTCCAGAAGATCTTAGGGTCCTGGTGGGCTGATAGGCTGAGATACGTTCGGATAGATAAGTTGGGCCAGAACCGTTTAGGGCTTTAAAGGCCAAAACCAGCACTTTGAATTGAGCCCGGTAGCATATCGGCAGCCAGTGGAGCTGGTGCAGCAGAGGAGTTGTGTGCTCCCAGCGCCCCACTCCTGTTAGTACCATGGCTGCCGCCCGTTGGACTAGTTGGAGCTTCCGGGCTGTCTTCAAAGGCAACCCCACGTAGAGAGCGTTGCAGTAGTCAAGACGGGATGTAACCAGAGCATGGACTACCGTGGCCAAGTCAGACTTCCCAAGGTACGGTCGCAGTTGGCGCACAAGTTTTAACTGTGCGAATGCTCCCCTGGTCACCGCCGAAACCTGGGGTTCCAGGCTCAGCGATGAGTCCAGGATCACACCCAAACTGCGAACCTGTGTCTTCAGGGGGAGTGCGACCCCATCCAACACAGGCTGTAATCCTATACCCTGTTCGGTCTTACGACTAACCAGGAGTACCTCTGTCTTGTCTGGATTCAATTTCAATTTGTTCGCCCCCATCCAGACCGTCACAGCGGCCAAGCACCGGTTCAGGACCTCGACAGCCTCCTTAGTAGCAGGTGGGAAGGAGTGACAGAGTTGGACATCATCTGCGTACAGATGACATCGCACTCCGAAACTCCGGATGATCTCGCCCAGCGGCTTCATGTAGATGTTAAACAACATGGGAGACAGTATTGAACCCTGAGGAACTCCACAGGACAAAGGCTGTGGAGTAGAACAGGAGTCTCCCAGTAACACCTTCTGAGACCGGCCCTCGAGGAATGAGCGGAGCCACTACAGAACAGTCCCTCCAAGACCCATCCCCGCGAGGAGGCGTCCCAGAAGGATACCGTGGTTGACGGTATCGAAGGCCGCTGAGAGGTCAGCAGCACCAACAGGGACACACTCCCCCTGTCGAGCTCCCGACGCAGATCAGCCACTAAGGCGACCAAGGCTGTCTCGGTACCATGCCCCGGCCTAAAGCCAGACTGTGCCGGATCCAGATAATCCGTGTCTACCAAGAATGCCTGGAGTTGTGAGGCCACCACACGTTCCATGACTTTGCCCAAAAAGGGGAGATTGGAAACAGGCCGATAGTTGACGAATTGAGTGGGGTCCAGTGATGGTTTCTTCAACAGCGGTTTATCACAGCTTGCTTTAAGCTGGCTGGAATTTTGCCCTCCCGAAGGGAGGCATTAACCACCACCTTCACCCACTCGGCCAATCCCCCTCTGGCCTCCTTTAGAAGCCAGGATGGGCAGGGGTCTAGGATGCATGTGGTAGCTCTCATTCCTCCAAGCACCTTGTCCACATCCTCGGATTGAACCAATTGAAATGAATCCATCAAAACCGGACAAGCAGATGCTCGTGTTACATCCTCAGATACTGCCGTTAATATGGTGTCCAGTCCAGAGCGGATCAAAGCGACTTTGTCTGCGAAGAACCGAGCAAAAGCTTCACAGCGAGCTGCCGAGTCCTCAGGGCACCCGTCCTGAGTGGAGGGTTTTAATAAGCCTCTGACAACTCGGAACAGTTCAGCCGGACGGTTCTTTGCAGACGCAATAGTGGCCGCAAAGAAAGTTTCTTTGCGGCCTTTATTGCCGCGGCATATGCCCTTAAAAAGGACACAAACCGTGTTCGATTTGGCTCGCTCGGATCCGAACGCCACACGCTCTCTAGTTCCCTCTTCTTTCGCTTCAACACTGCCAGCTCCTCGGTAAACCAAGGAGCTGGTTTAGCTCGGCTACTTGAGAGGGGACGTTCTGGAGCGATCGTGTCTATTGCCCTAGTCATCTCCCCATTCCAGAGAGCGACCAGAGCATCAACAGGATCACCAACCGAGGTGGCGGGAAATTCCCCAAGAGCCATCAGGAATCCATCCGGATCCATAAGCCTCCTGGGGCGGACCAATTTAATGGGTCCTCCACCTCTGCGGAGGTTGGGGGGTGCAGTGAGTCTAAAGCTGACCAGGTGGTGGTTGGTCCACGGCAACGGAGAGATGGTTAACTCCTCAACACCGCCACCTTCCTCCCATCCCTGACAGAAAACCAAGTCCAATGTATGTCCAGCACTGTGGGTGGGGCCAGATACCTGTTGGGACAGCCCCATGGTTGCCATGGTAGACATGAAGTCCTGAGCCGCTCCCGATAGGGCGGCCTCGGCATGGACATTGAAGTCCCCCAGCACAAGCAGCCGTTGGGACTCCAACGCCAGGTCCGAGACCACCCCCGCTAGCTCAGTCAGGGAGTCAGTAGTGCAGCGAGGTGGACGGTACACTAACAGAATCCCTAATCTGTCCCGGTCACCCACCCTCAGGTGGACGCATTCAAAATTTGTTGACTGCGGGATGGGGGCCCTGGTCAGAAGAATGGAATCTCTATAGACCACTGCAACTCCGCCTCCCCGCCCTCCGGATCTCGGTTGGTGCTGCACAGAGAAACCTGGTGGGCAAAGCTGGGTCTCTGTAGATAGCTTGTATGTTGTGTTTCCTCATCAGCTTCCCTATGCGGTCAGTGGTTCCCTTGATGTATGGCAAGAACATTTTTCCTCTGGGTGGATCTTTGTCTTGACTCTTGTGGCTTGTTCTCGGTCTTGCAGCTCTTCTGATGTCTGAGGTGGAGTCTCCATTGGCCTGGAGAGCCCAGTTGAGGTGGTTCAGTCCATCTTGGAGGAGGTGGGCTTCCCATATTCTTTTTGCACGGTCTGCCAAGGCTTTCATGGGGCTTCCTTTTTGGACTTGGGTGATGGTTGGAGTTTTGATGTAGATCTCTATCTGTGTGTGTGGGTTTTCTGTAAACGGTGTGACCCAATTGTTGATCTGGTTTACGGATGACTAGGACATCTAGAAAACCAGAGAAATCAGCCATAGCAGAGCACCTGATGAACCAGCCTGGACACAGCATATTATTTGAGAACACAGAAATGCTGGACCACACCAACAACCACCATGTCAGACTACACAGAGAAGCCATTGAAATCCACAAGCATGTGGACAATTTCAACAGAAAGGAGGAAACCATGAAAATGAACAAAATCTGGCTACCAGTATTAAAAAATTCTAAAATTGCAACAGCAAAAACAGCAGAGAGAAAAACAGGCAGGGACATCTAATCACCCTTCAAGAAGAGTTTGCCCCAGGCACAGTCAGCCCATTGTATGCTAATCAAGGTGGTCAGTTGAAAGATTCACACCTAGCCCAACTTACAAAAGCCCTTTGTCTCACCCTGGTCATTCCACAGATATATAAACCCCTTTTTTCCCATCTCCAGCAGACCTCACCTCTGAGGATGCCTGCCATAGATGCAGGCGAAACGTCAGGAGAAATGCCTCTAGAACATGGCCATATAGCCCGAAAAAACCCACAAGAACTGAGTGATTCCAGCCATGAAAGCCTTCGACAATACATTAAATACCAATTCCACTGGATCCTCTTCCTTCACATCCTATATAATTATATAATAACATCAAAATATTCAACCCTCCATTAGAAAAAAAAACAAAGCCCACCTTCTCTCTCCAGACTACACATCCCAGGGTTCTACAGGAATATGCCATGAGGGTGAAAATCACACCAAAAACTACACAAAAAAAGTCAAAACACATGTATATTTTTTCCTCTAAGTTTATTATTTTCCTTGAGAACTTTTTGCTTAAAAAAAGAAACCCCAAAACACTTAACATCTCTTTTAAGATATCTACACAGATAGATATATATGTTTGCATGTCTTTGTGTGTGTGTGTTTGTGTGTATATTATAGGCACATAGAAAACAGTCGTTCTTCTTGCAACAACAAGGAAGTCAACACATTCTCGGTCTGTCTGTTTAAAAGGAGAGAAAGAAAGAAAATAAAGGAAAATGCATTGGAGAAAACAGGTTCTGGAATGATTCCCTTTTGTTTACAGAAGGTGTGGGACTACAACTCCCAGCAGTCAAGGGCTAGAGGACGCTGGGAGTTGCAGTCCGGCAACTTCTGGAATGGCCACTGACTCCTCCTCTTTAAAAGGACTGCAAAATGGGAAGAGATCCTACTGATTTGAAGGGCCAGATGGAGTCAGGATCCATCCATGGAATGTTGGGACTTCTAGCACAAGAGGCATCCAACTACAGATCCCAGCATCCTGCTCCAATGTGTGAAAGGGCTGCAATTCTGCAACATGGATAGATGTTTGGATCGGTGTCAATACAACATCTGCTCTAGATGCATCGTATGCTCTCGATCCAAGGTTTTCGGAAGCCAAAGCGGCCAGTGGGCTTGCGTCTACACTGCAGAATTAATGCAGTTCGATACCACTTGTGCAACAGCGATATAGCCCCCAACGTTTATGCAACCTTATAATGCAACATCTGCTCTAGATGCAACATATCCACTCGATCCAAGGTTTTTGGAAGCCAAAGTGGCCAGTGGGCTTGCGTCTACACTGCAGAATTAATGCGGTTTGATACCACTTTAATGACCCAAAGCTATGGGACCCTGGGAGCTGCAGTTTGAAGACGCCTTTCGTCTCCAATGGCACCTCAGCAAAGCAGATATATCTCCCTGGATTTCAGAATTCTGAGCCTGTCTACACTGTGGAATTAATGCAGTTCGATACCACTTGTGCAACAGCGATATAGCCCCCAACGTTTATGCAACGCTATAATGCAACATCTGTTCTAGATGCAATGTTTCCACTCGATCCAAGGTTTTTGGAACCCAAAGCGGCCAGTGGGCTTGCGTCTACGCTGCAGAATTAATGCGGTTTGATACCACTTTAATGACCCAAAGTTATGGGACCCTGGGAGCTGTAGTTTGAAGACGCTTTTCGCCTTCAATGGCACCTCAGCAAAGCAGATATATCTCCCTGGATTTCAGAATTTTGAGCCTGTCTACACTGCGGAATTAATGCAGTTCGATATCACTTGTGCAACAGCGATACAGCCCCCAACGTTTATGCAATGTTATAATGCAACATCTGCTCTAGATGCAAGGTTTTTGGAAGCCAAAGTGGCCAGTGGGCTTGCGTCTACACTGCGGAATTAATGCAGTTCAATACCACTTTAATGACCCAAAGTTATGGGACCCTGGGAGCTGTAGTTTGAAGACGCTTTTCGCCTTCAATGTCATCTAAGCAAAGTATATAGATCTCTCTGGATTTCACAGTTTTGAGCCTGTCTACACTGCGGAATTAATGTGGTTCAATACCACTTTAATGACGATGGGCACTGTAGTCCTAACAAAGGTATGGGATCCTGGGAGCTGTAGTTTGAAGGGTCCTTTTACCTTCAATGCCATCTCACCAAAGTAGGTACATCTCCCTGGATTTTGCAGTTTTGAGCCCGTCTACACTGCGGAATTAATGCAGTTCGATACCACTTTAATGACCCAAAGTTATGGGATCCTGGGAGCTGTAGTTTGAAGGGTCCTTTCGCCTTCAATGCCACCTCAGCAAAGTAGATACATCTCCCTGGATTTCACAGTTTTGAGCCCGTCTACACTGCAGAATTAATGCAGTTCGATACCACTTTAATAACCCAAAGTTATGGGACCCTGGGAACTGTAGTTTGAAGGGTCCTTTCGCCTTCAATGCCACCTCAGCAAAGTAGATACATCTCCCTAGATTTCACAGTTTTGAGCCTGTCTACACTGCAGAATTAATGCGGTTCAATACCACTTTAATGACCCAAAGTTATGGGATCCTGGGAGCTGTAGTTTGAAGGGTACTTTTGCCTTCAATGCCACCTCACCAAAGCAGATAGATCTCCCTGGATTTTGCAAGGTAAAGTGGTATCAAAGTGCATTAATTCTGCAGTGCGGATGCACCCTTAGATGAAAAGGCTCTCACCCAAAGCAGATAGATCTCCCTAGATTTTGCTAGGTAAAGTGGTATCAAAGTGCATTAATTCTGCAGTGCGGATGCACCCTTAGATGAAAAAGGCTCTCAACCAAAGCAGATAGATCTTCCTGGATTTTGCAAGGTAAAGTGGGATCAAAGTGCATTAATTCTGCAGTGCGGATGCACCCTTAGATGAAAAAGGCTCTCACCCAAAGCAGATAGATCTCCCTGGATTTTGCAAGGTAAAGTGGGATCAAAGTGCATTAATTCTGCAGTGCGGATGCACCCTTAGACGAAAAGGCTCTCACCCAAAGCAGATAGATCTCCCTGGATTTTGCAAGGAAAAGTGGGATAAAAGTGCATTAATTCTGCAGTGCGGATGCACCCTTAGACGAAAAAGGCTCTCACCCAAAGCAGATAGATCTCCCTGGATTTTGCAAGGAAAAGTGGGATCAAAGTGGATTAATTCTGCAGTGCGGATGCACCCTTAGATGCATTTAGCAAACTCAATGTATTGAACAAACGCAATGTAAACAAAGATCTTTCGGAGCCATTTTTGAAGCCCAAAAGCTTCAGAGCAGGCCTGGGCCAACTTGGGCCCTCCCTCCGGGTGTTTTGGACTTCAACTCCCACAATTCCTAACAGCCGGTAGGCTGTTAGGAATTGTGGGAGTTGAAGTCCAAAACACCCGGAGGGAGGGCCCAAGTTGGCCCAGGCCTGCTCTGAATCCATTTCCTTTTGCATTCCCATGAACCAAGTTGCAATTTCAATTTGCAAATTCGATAATAGGCTCCAAAATCTTGCCATTTTGGGGGTGCAATGGATATTGTTTTTAATTAAAAATAATTAAAACTTCAGCAGCAGCAAACGATTTTTTTATACATATATAAATGAGAGCAACGACATCAAAACCCGAAACGTTTTCCCAAGACACTGTAATGATATGGCTTGCAACGGAGAAGGGAGGACAACAAAGCCCAGGTTTCGGTCTCCGATTCAAGGCAGCAAAAGGTCTTTTGCAAAGAAGCCCTTCCGTGAAATGAAGGAAGGGAAATGGGGGGGATTTGGGGGGATTCGGCCTCAATTTGGGAATCGGGGGCCTCTTTGGGGCCAAATTAGGACCGGTTTCCTGCAAAAACAAGGTTCCAAAAAGACTTTGTATTGCAAGCAAGCAGAGTCCGATCCTGGTGGGAAGTTTGGAAAAGCAGGGAAGAGACTATCATCCAATGCAATGTCATAATAGGTCGGGACTACAATGCCCATTGCTCCCTGGCTGGGATGATGGGCACTGTAGTCACAACATATTGATAAGATGGGAACTAGGCAAATTTAGGCAGCGATTCTAGCATCCAATGCAATGTCACAATAGGTCGGGACTACAATGCCCATTGCTCCCTGGCAGGGGTGATGGGCATTGTAGTCGCAACATATTGAAAAGATGCCCCAGCATATCAAAGATGCTCAGTTGAACCAGGAAGATTTAAGCAGCTATTCTATCATCCAATGCAATATCATGATAGGTTAGGACTACAATGACCATTGTTCCCTGGCTGGGATGATGGGCATTGTAGTCCCAACATATTGAAAAGATGCTTGGTTGAACCAGGAAGATTTAGGCAGCTACTCTATCATCCAATGCAATGTCATAATAGGTTAGGACTACAATGCCCATCGCTCCCTGGCTGGGATGATGGGCATTGTAGTCCCAACATACTGAAAAGATGCTCAGTTGAACCAGGCAAATTTAAGCAGCTATTCTATCATCCAATGCAATGTCATAATAGGTCGGGACTACAATGCCCATTGCTCCCTGGCTGGGACAATGGGCATTGTAGTCCCAACGTATTGAAAAGATGCTCAGTTGAACCAGGAAGATTTAGGCAGGCATTCTAGCATCCAATGCAATGTCTTGATAGGTCAGGACTACAATGCCCATTGCTCCCTGGCTGGGACGATGGGTATTGTAGCCCCAGCATATCAAAGATGCTCAGTTGAACCAAGAAGATTTAGGCAGCTATTCCATCATCCAAGGCAATGTCACAATAGGTTATCACTACAATGCCCATCGTTCCCTGGCTGGGATGATGGACATTGTAGTCCCAACATATTGAAAAGATGCTCAGTTGAACCAGGAAGATTTAGGCAGCTATTCTATCATCCAGTGCAATGTCACGATATGTTGGGACTACAACGCCTGTTGCTCCCTGGCTGGGATGATGGGCATTGTAGTCTCTGCACAATGGGAAGATGCCCAGTTGAAGGAGGCAGATGTGCATGAAAAATGCAGAAGAGAAATAAACTATTCCAAGGCTGGAACATGATCAGGACTACTATGCCCATTGCTCCCTGGCTGGAACAATGGGCATTGTAGTCCCAACATATCACAATGATGCTCAGTTGAGCCCGGCAGACTGAAAAGGAAAACACAGAAAAGAAAACTCAAGTTGTGCCAACGCTGGACTTGGAAATATTGGGGATCAATACATACTTATCCGCTTCTGATCAATATCGGTAATGTTTAAAACAAAAGGGACGTCTTCCCAGCTTCAGCACAAGCCAAATATTCGCATTCCCATCATCCACAGCTATGCCATAATACGTTGGGACTACAAAGCCCATCACTCCACCTGGGACGATGGGCATTGTAGTCTCGGCACAATGGGAAGAAGATGCCCAGTTGAAGGAGGGAGGTGTGCATGAAAAATGCAGAAGAGAATGCAACTGGGCCGAGGCTGGAGAATTGGGATTGATGCGCCTCCGATCAGCCCTTTCTCTCTTGTGAGTGTGTTTAGATTCAACGCAATGCACAGGAACCAAGGGACAAACTGGCAACTTTTACTGGTTGGCGATTGGGATCATTTGCCCCGCTTTGCGCAGTGACTTATGCGCCAAACGATCGCAAAGGTGGAAGATGCGCCCAAGAAGAAGACGCGGCACGTTTCCTTTCCTTCCCCTTTTGAAACGACAAAACGGCAAGTACGAAAACCCAACAATGTGTCCCTCCCACCCCCACCCACCCCACAATGCGCTCCCCAAAGCCATGCCATGCGCAGAAATCCGTTGCGCGCTCACGGAGGCGGAAAAGAAGGTTTCGGAAACAACAAGGAGCGGGAGCGACATCATGGCTTTCCTTCGAAACCAGCGCCTGAGGCCAGAGTCTGTGGCTCCGAGTGCCATGGGTTCTGGGCCCGGAACAAAGCGCATGACTTCCCATCCCGAGTCCCACAAAAGACAAGCGCAGCTCAAGGGCGGCACGCGGAGGCGGAGGCGGCGCACGGCGGCGGTGGCGGAGGGCCCCTCTCCACGCGTGTTTTCAAGCTCAACCGGAACATAGAGGAGATCTGGGATCCCATACGTATACATAACTCAGATACATGTATGTATATATGGATATATGGCGGGAGAGGCCGCTGCCGCCCGAGCTTAGTCGAACCCGTGCCACTCGCTCTGCTCCGAGTCGTACTCCAGCTCCGCCCCCACGCACCTCACCCCCTCCAGCAGCATCGGGGTCCCGTGGTGGCGGTCTGCAAGGCAAAGGGAAGACATGGGGTGCCGTTAGAGGAGGGGGTCACGGGGAAGAAGGGCCCCCAGAGGGCATCCAGCCCAACCCTCAGGTGGATGGATGGATGGATGGACAGACAGGTGACAGAATCATAGAACCCTAGAGTTGGAAGGGATCCCCAGAAGTTATGCAGCCCAACCCTCAGGTGGATGGATGGACAGAATCACAGAACCTTAGTTGGAAGGGCCCCCAAGAGGGCATCCAGCCCAACCCTCAGGTGGATGGATGGACAGAATCACAGAACCTTAGTTGGAAGGGCCCCCAGAGGGCATCCAGCCCAACCCTCAGGTGGATGGATGGAGAGAATCACAGAACCTTAGTTGGAAGGGTCCCCAAGAGGGCATCCAGCCCAACCCCTTGATAAATAGGGAAGGTAGGAAGGTAGGTAAGTAGGTAGATGATAGATAGATAGATAGATAGATAGATAGATGATAGATAGATAGATAGATAGATAGATAGATAGATAGATAGATAGAGTTCGAAGGGATCCCTAGAGTTCGAAGGGATCCCTAGAGGTCATCCAGCCCAATCCTCAGAAGGTTGGATGGATGGATGGATGGGTGGATGGACAGACAGACATATCATAGAATCATAGAATCCTAGAGTTGGAAGGGTCCCCCAGAGGTCATCCAGTCCAATTTTCAGATGGATGGGTTGATAGATGGGTATATGGATGGATAGACAGACAGACAGATGATAGAATCCTAGAACTCTAGATTTGGAAGGGACCCCCAGAGGTCACCCAACCCAATCCTCGGCTGGATGGATAGATGGATAGACAGACAGACAGTTGATAGAATCATAGAACCCTAGATTAGGAAGGGTCCCTCAGAGGTCATCCAGTCCAATCGTCATCCAACCCATTCCTCAGATGGCTGGCTGGCTGGCTGGCTGGCTGGCTAGATAGATAGATAGATAGATAGACAGGCAGATGATAGAATGCTAGAAGTCTAGAGTTGGAAGGGACCCCCCAGAGGTCATGCAGCCCAATTCTCAGATGGATGGATGGATAGATATATGGATGTGTAGGTGGATATACAGACAGATAGATAGATTTATAGAACCCTGGAGTTGGGAGGTCCCCCCCCCCCCCAGAGGTCAACCAGTCCAGGGATAGTGGACAATGCAGTCTAATACATTCAAAATATTGCTTGGTTGACAGTGATCTTGCTCAGAGAAAGTGCAAGAAATGTCTTTGCTCCTCTCGATATTTGCTTTCCTCTCCGGGTTCCAGAGAGACACAAATGCTCGCTCTTATCGGGAAACAGTGACCTTCTGCTGCTCATTAAGAGCCAGGCTTAATTTCCTGGCCCTGGGAAACATTTCCGCAAAGCAGGATATTAATTCTGTGTTTGCAGAGAGAGGACCAGCCCAGAGATAGGCATGGCGCTGGGGGCGATGGGCCCTGGAGTCAAAGCCCATCCTGACAACACCAAGGGCTCGTTACCAAGTCCTGAGTCCTTCATGTGGGATGGATGGGGGATTCTGGGGGCTGGTGCGCACTCACCCATGACCCGCGCCTGGACCACCACCTTGACCACGGCCCGCTCGTTGGACTCGCTCTGGAGCACCATCTCCTCCTTCAGGACCCCCTCCGTGTGCGCCGTGTATTCGCACTTGATGCTGTAGCCTGCAAGCAGAAGAGGGCACAGAAGGGTCAGAAGGGGCCCCCAAAGGCCATCCGGTCCAGCCCCCATTGCAGAGGAAGACACAACCAAAACCCTCCCGACAGATGGCCATCCAGCCTCTACTTGAAAACCTCCAGAGAAAGAGACTTCACTGAACTCCTAGGTGGCAGCAGATTCAACGATGACAATAATTGGAAGGGGGTCTCAAAGGCCATCTAGTCCAACCACACACACACAGGGAGACATAGTTGAAACACTCCTGACAGACAACCATCCTGGGCACCCAGGGGGCAGCAGAAGGGAGGGTTGGACTAGATGGCCTTTGGGGGTCCACTATTAAAACAGCTGTTATGAACGAAGGGATGGATGGGCGATAATAACACGATGTAAAAAATATGGAAAATGTTCTGTTTGTGCTTTGAAAGTGTTGTTTCCTGTTTGAAAGTAGTCATTATCCTCCAGAAACTTTGTTTTCATGGCCCAAAGTAGGTTTGAATTGGTTGAGACTCAAGGAGGAGAGATGCACTGGGAAACCAAGCAAGATGTGCAATAGCAGCAGGAGGGGGGTGTCCCTCTTGCAAGAGCAAAGCTTGTGCAGTTTAGTCAACTTTCCCCTTGTTTTGATGATAGAACCCATTAGGAAATAATGGCATGGATGGCCCAGGAACAGAAACCAGAGTGCCACAGAGTGTAACTGATTGGACACGAAAAGGAGGATTGTCCATTCCATTGCGTTTCCTTTTGCCATATATGGTTGCAGAGAGGGAGAGGGAGCAAAGCGGGCAGCCGCCTCCTTGCAAATGTGCGGCCGGAGGATCACTCTGGGGATCAACAACGTGCTTTAATGGGCACTGGAGCAAATTACATACACATAGATATACATATTTATTTATTATTCAAACTTATATGCCACCACTCTCCTGGGGCTTGGAGCGGCTTACAAGAGCAGGCTAAAATCGAATATAATTTAAAAACAATTTAAAACAAATTAAGAACAATTTAAAAACAGCAATATTAAAAGTCAAAAGCCTGTCGGAACAGATATGTCTTCCAAGCCCTGCGGAAAGCTGATAAGTCCCACAAGGCCCGGACTTCTGGTGGCAGAGTGTTCCAGAGTGAGGGTGCCACTGCTGTGAAGGCTCTGCGCCTGGTTGCTGTCGGGCGCAAGGTCTTGACACTGGGGACTTCCAATAGATCTTGGTCCTCAGAACGGAGGGATCTCTGGGGTTGGGAGGGGGTGAGGCGGCCCCTCAGGTCCATCGGCCCCAGACCATGCAAGGCCTTCAAGGTGAGTCCCATCCCTTTGAAAGTGATCCGGTGCTCAATGGGTAACCATAAGATTGGGGTGATGTGGCATCTCATCGGAATTCCCACAAGAAGCCGGGCAGCTGCGTTTTGTACCAGCTTGAGTTTCCAGATCGCCGACAGAGGAAGGCCAATGTAGAGGGTGTGACAGTAGTCCAGTCTTGAGATGACCGTGGCCTGGATCACCGTAGCGAGGCCGTCCCTGGACAGGGAGGGGGCCAGCCGTCTAGCCTGCCGCAGGTGGAAGAAAGAAGGCGGTTCTGCTCACGGCGGAGGGAGACCTGGGCCTCCATCCTCACAGAGGGTCCAAAAGGACTCCCAGACTCTTGACCAACGAGGACGGGCATAGCGCCTGGCCATCCAGGGTAGGCAGCTGGATAATATCCCAACTGCCCGGTCGACCCAGCCATAGGATCTCCGTCTTTGCCGGATTCACCCTCAACCTGCTGGCACGCAGCCATCCAGTCACGGCCTCAATGAGGCACTGATGGAAGGAATCGGGGACAGAGTCCGGTCAGCCTTCCATCTTCAGTACCAGCTGAGTGTCATCGGCGTACTGGTCACACTCCAGCCCAAAACTTCGAACCAGCTGAGCAAGTGGTCGCATAGAGATGTTAAGCAAGAGAGGGGAGAGAATGGCCCCCTGAGGAGGAACCCCACCAGAGAGAGAGAGAGAGAGGGGGGGGGGACCTCTCAGAGACCAGGCCTCCCCTCTCCACTCGCTGTCCACGGTTCTGAAGAAAGGAGGGGAGCCAGTTTAAAGCTCTCCCCCTGACTCACTCCAGCAACAGCAAGGCGGTGTACATACATACATGTGTATATAGACATATACATATACACGTACAGATACATGCTTTTGGTTGGAGTTACACTTAAGAAAAGTACCTGTTCCAACTTACATACAAATTCAGATCAAACCTACAGAACCGGTCTTGTTTGGGAGGGCCTGCAAATGACACAACCCAAGGTTCTGAATCTACCATAGAAACAAAGGCATTTGGCTGAAATCTGGATTGTGTTCGTGCTGTGCTTCAGTCCCAGTGAAGCCAAGAGCGACTCTTGTTCCTGACTTTGGTGTCAGAGTAGCGTTAGTAGCCCGCAGAATGTCTCACCCCTTTTACTCTCAGTGTGATAAAAGCTCAAAAAATACACACGAGTCTGTTGTTTTAAGTAGAAACTAAAATATAGTTCTATTCACTCTAGATCAAAAACACAAAACAAACAGAAGAATTGTTCTCAACAATATACAACAAACAATATCTCCGGTGAGTCATCTTCTTTACATGACAATATGCAAACATATAGCAAAATAATACAGTCCTTCTACTTAGTTATCAGTCCATCTACAAACCCACGCGTTCTCTTCGGTCATCTGGAGAGGCCCTGCTCGTGATCCCACCGGCGTCGCAAGCGCACTTGGTGGGGACGCGGGACAGGGCCTTTTCCGTGGTGGTCCCCCGACTCTGGAACACCCTCCCCAAAGACCTTAGACAGGCCCCTACATTGGCTATCTTCAGAAAGAACTTAAAAACCTGGCTTTTCCAATGCGCCTTCCCAGATTAGGAAATCTCCACTACCGAGTCCCACAAGTACTTTACCAGAACCAATGATTGCTGCACACCGCACATCGCACTTGCCCTAGTAACCTTTTATACACCTCCTGTCTAATCAGCACTTTTAACCCTTGTACCCATCTTTTGGCCCGGCCCAGTTTTATTGTGTTTTAATGTACTGTGCTTGTTGTTTACTTTGCTTTAATTTGTTTTAATTGTTTGATTTGCTTGATTGTATTGTTATGTTGTGTTGTTGAGGCCTCGGCCTGTGTAAGCCGCATCGAATCCTTTAGGAGATGCTAGCGGGGTACAAATAAAGTTTAATAATAATTAATAATAATAATAGAATGTCCTTATCTTGCCATAAACAAGCAGTTTCTCTGGCACTCCAAACGGCTTCAATCTTCAGCTTCAGGACGCTGCGTAACCTCTCCCAGCAACAGCCAAAGGTTTCTTCAGCTCAAAACGAGCCATCAGGCTAAGCCAAAATGCAAAGCTCAAAGCTTGCCAATTTAGTGCCTTCTTAAAATAATATAAATAATAATAAAACTTTATTTGTACCCCTCTACCATCTCCCCAAGGGACTCGGTGCGGCTTACATGAGGCCGAGCCCACAATACAACAACAAAAACAATAACAATAATACAAAACAATAAATAAACTCATAAGCAAAAATAAGCAATAAACATTAACAGTAACATGACGCGTTTAAAAGCCTATGGCTGGGACCAAATGTAATAATTAAATTTTTTAAAAAATAATGCTGGGCATGACAAGGTGACATGGAACTGAGGTAGAAGTTTTTGGAGAGGGATGAGTGTGCAGACAATCTTAGATCACTAATAAAGAGCGTTTGGGGACATATTGCTGGGAGTTTCCTTATTCTGGGAAGGCACACTGAAACAACCACGTTTTTCAGGCTCCTCCTAAAGACTGCCAGAGTTGGGGCATGCCTGATGTCCTTGGGGAGTGAGTTCCAGAGTCGAGGGGCCACCACCGAGAAGGCCCTCTCCCTCGTCCCCACCAATCGCGCTTGCGATGGAGGCGGGAGCATGAGCAGGGCCTCTCCAGATGATCGGAGAGATCATGTGGGTTCATACACAGAGATGCGGTCACGCAGGAAGGCGGGTCCCAAACCATTTAGGGCTTTGTAGGTAAGCACCTGCACCTTGAATTGGGACCGGTAAATGAACAGCAGTCAATGGAGCTCCTTAAACAGGAGGTTGACCTCTCCCTGTAAGGAGCACCAGTTAACAACCTGGCCGCCCCATTGTACCAGTTGAAATTTCCGGGCCATTTTCAAGGGCAGCCCCACGTAGAGTGCATTACAGTAGTCCAATCTGGAGGTGACTAAGGCATGGATCACCCTGGCCAAGTGCATTTAGGACGTATTGCTTAGGGTTCCTTATTCTGGGAAGGCACACTGAAACAACCACGTTTTCCAGCTCCTCCTAAAGACTGCCAAAGTTGGGGCATGCCTGATGTCCTTAGGGAGTGAGTTCCAGAGACAAGGGGCCACCACCGAGAAGGCCCTCTCTCTCGTCCCCACCAATCGCGCTTGCGATGCAGGTGGGAGCGTGAGTAGGGCCTCTCCAGATGATCAAAGAGATTGTGTGGGTTCATATACGGAGATGCAGTCACGCAGGTAGGCGGGTCCCAAACCGTTTAGGGCTTTGTAGGTAAGCACCTGCACCTTGAATTGGGACCGGAAAATGAATGGCAGCCAATGGAGCTCCTTAAACAGGAGGGTTGACCTCTCCCTGTAAGGAGCACCAGTTAACAACCTGGCCGCCGCCCGTTGGACCAGTTGAAATTTCTGAGCCGTTTTCAAAGTTAGGGATGAATGATTAGTTTCACTGTTGTTGTTCATTCATTCAGTCGTCTCCGACTCTTCGTGACCTCATGGACCATCCCACGCCAGAGCTCCCTGTCGGCCGTCACCACCCCCAGCTCCTTCAAGGTCAGTCCAGTCACTTCAAGGATGCCATCCATCCATCTTGCCCTTGGTCGGCCCCTCTTCCTTTTCCCTTCCATTTTCCCCAGCATCATTGTCTTCTCTAGGCTTTGCTGTCTCCTCATGATGTGGCCAAAGTACTTCAACTTTGTCTCTAGTCTCCTTCCCTCCAGTGAGCAGTCGGGCTTTA